CAGGCAACCACTTAGGCCCATCCCCCCCGGCCCATCCCTATTTCCCCGCCCTTTTTGGCAGTCTTGGCCCGCTTTTCTTCGTTTTTAGACGGTTTTCTCAGAGCAAAGGAGAGAGCAAAAGCAAAGAGTCGCCTTAACAAGCAGCTGGGCCTGACAACTGTTTGTTGCCTGATATTATTTCCAGCAGTTTTAGTCGCTTGTCGTGTGCAGGGCTATTACCATTAGTTGTTGCTGTTTTTGTTGCCACTTGACACTAAACGAAAATGAAACTGAAAATTGTTTGGCCGAGCCGCAGGCGGCGACAGCCGTAAAACACAAGTAAACACAGGAAAGGCGATTGGCTTAGCCGAAACCTGAATGTCCTTCAAGGACAGAACTCGTGGGATTTGGGTTCCGGGAACTATAATAAATAAAAGTACCCAAAAACAGTCTCAAAAACCAACCCAACATTCAGCACACATCTAGGGCTTTAACTTCGGATTATGTTCTTTGGGCTACACAAAAACAAAAGTGCTCACAAAGCCAATTGTTGAAGGTAAACAGCAAACAAGTTTTGTTGAATTTGTTAATGGAGTTATTTACCTTAAAAAATCTGGGAGTTAAAATGCACCCTAACTGCAGCCATTAAAAGTTATCCTTGGGTTGCCTACTTTTGATGGAAGACTGGTGAAGGGATTGTTCAGTTTACCTAACAATTATTTAAGAGCACACTTTTAAGGGCGCCTCTTGAACTTAAAACTATATTCATTTTCAATGATGAAAAATGGTACGACTTGAAGCCTTAAAATATTTTTAATCTCTCACATTACCAAAAAATGTAACCTAAACATACACACAGGTAAAAAAAATACCAATGTATTTACTTAATGATTAAATTAGTTTGAATCGAAACTGAATAATAGGTAATATGTTTATTAATACGATGGCTGTTGTTTTCCCCCGAGTCATGCCACAGTGCATATGCTTCGTTGTCCTGCGAAAATTGTTGTGGCAAGGCAGTTGGAAAATGTTTACAGTTTCACAGCCACTTGAAAAAGTTCTCCACTGCCACTCCCCCCGCTTTTCACCGGCCTGCCCCCCTTTACTCCCATGGTTTTTACTTGGCCAGGTTATTTATAGCTGTCGCTCGTTTGTTGTACGTATTTTTTAATAAGTTGTTTTTGCCTGTCGCTCGGTTTATATTTTGCATAAATTATGTCAGCCACCACCCACAAAATTGCCCACTTTCGACCGCTTTCTCCCAGCGACAACACTTTAAAGTTTTAATGGCTCTCCGCCTAGGTTTCAGTGTATGTGCATGTTTGTTTGTTTGTTTGCCTGCTTGTGTTTTATTAATGAGCTGCGCCAAATTAAGTTTAATGTGTGTGAGTTATCTGTGTGTTTGTTTGCAAGTTTGCATATTTAAATGTTGCAAGCTGTCGCTGTCTCTATCCCTGTCTCTGTCGCTCCCCCAGCACCTTTGCCCTCCCATATACGAAAAACATTTGTTAGAAGATCGAGGGAGAAAGTACGGATTGATTTATGGAACAATTTATAATGGCATTCCTGAAGCGGATTCCTCAAAAAATGAAGAGCATCCAAGAGCTCCTTTATCATGCAGATTCGTTTACGCATTATTTATGTTTTGTAAGAATTACTATACGTATATTTTTATAGAAGCTTAATAAGAATGTTTGGCTTGAATTTTGGAAATGTTTACCCCAAACAGTAAGATATTTTCGCACCGTGAAGCCAAATGCTTCACAACCCCTTCTTTTCCCACTGTCCATCTCTGTTTGACATTTATCATTTATAATTGTTTTGACTGTGGCAAAGGGACTTCCGAGTCCGAGTCCGAGAAGCTGTGACCGAAAAAGAGGGCGGTGTCAGAGAGGGGCGTGGCTGGGCGGTTAAAGGGATTCCTGTAACGGTCTTCTTTGTGCATGCATATATTTTGACATTTTGACATGCATTAAATCAGTCAAGCGTAAGCCACTTTGAGCTTCTCCTTTGACTCTGCGGTGCACGCTCAGCTGCTCCAGTCCCGTCTCCTTCTTTTGAACTCCCCTCCTTCTGCCCCAGAACAAAACCCCACGCTTTCACACAACCAACACACACACAAACCAACACACACACACACACTTCATTCATCCATCTCCATCTAGGTCTTTTCGGGGCGCCAAGTTTTGGTGGCAAAGCAAAAACCGCAGCCATGTATTTAAATGCGCACTTAAATTTTGAATGCATCTTGAGGGTTTCGAGTGCCACTGAATGACACAATTTTCCATATATTCGTTATATACTATTAATGATGTCAAACTGCCGGAGGGTCATTCACTCAAGTAATGGAAACCGGCGGCAGGGATTACTCTTCCTTTGATTTTATTCGGCTTTGATCTGTTGAAGCTTGATCCGGTTTGATTTGCCTGATTTTCCTCTGTCCATCTTGTTCTTTTGCCCTTTGGTTTGTGGTAGATACATTTGGAAAAATTCTTGCCTGGGGCCTTTTGAATGGAGTGCAGAAGTGGAGGATTATTCAGTCCCTTAAATAAACTATTAAACAGTGCTTTAATTGAATTTATCTCGAAAGGTTAAGGAATATTACAATGTACTTTGTACTGTGAAGTGCAAGTGGCTTATACAAGTGCTTGATAACAAGAAAGGAAGCTAGCTTCGGCAAGCCGAAGCTTATATACCCTTGCAGTCATCAAACATATCGAACAAAATACATAAAGGCTAACAACATCGAAGCTATGACGACTTTTCTATTAATTTTCCATATTTTCGACTATTGTTCATATGGCAGCTATATGATATAGTCGTCCGATTTTGATGAAATTTTTTTCTCGGGTCAAGGGTAGTTCATAAAGTCGATGTTGTAAAAATCATGCTCGTGGAATAAAAAACAACAACGTTATGATTATTTTGCCATTATTTCTATATATATTTTTTGATCTTTCCTATGGCAGCTATATGATAGGGTTATTCGATTTTGATAAAATTTAATCCGAAATTTAATAACCGTTAGAAAACGCCATCTTGAAGAATTCAAGTCGATCTGATCAAAAACAACGGAGTAATAATTTTTTATCCTTTATTTTTTTGACCTCTTGTATGGGAGCTATCCGATATAGTCGGCCGATCCGGCTCGTTCCGACTTATATACTGCGTGCAATAACTACACATCTTTTGGGAAAGTTTCAGCAAGATAGCTTTAAAACTGAGAGACTAGTTTAGGCAGAAACGGACAGGAGGACAGACGGACAGACGGACAGACGGACAGACGGACAGACAGACAGACGGACAGACGGACAGACGGACAGACGGACAGACGTACAGACGTATTTCGACTCAGATCGTGATGCTGATCAAGAATATATATACTTTATGGGGTCTGAGGTGTCTCCTTCACTGCGTTGCAAACTTCTGGCCAAAATTATAATACCCTTTGCTCTGCAAGGGTATAAAAAGCAAGGTCAGATTACCAGGATAAAGTTAAACATTTTTAAAGATTGATCATTTGGGTCAAGTTCGTTGCCTCGTAATCTTGACAAGGCCCACAAGATTTACCATCTGTATCTGTGAATCTTCTGCTCCTGGTCATTCTCCATCCATCGCGATCCGAAATTTATGGGACCTCCTGACAGACGCAGAGATTTGGCGCTGGAAGCAACAAACAGTTTACGGAAATTTATGTGGCCAGAAATTTGCACATGTTAATTGCTACAAAGCAGGGGGCGGAATGGATGGACTGGACCGACTAACGGTACCCAAGGCTGATGTCCGCTGTTGACGCCGAAAATGCTTGGAGTCGGGAATTTATGGATAAATTATCGAATTTATTTTCTTTCGCTACTCTCGTGCGCGTTTCTGGGTAGTGTTTACTTTCAGATTTCTTTTAAATTTAGCTGCAACAATTTTTCATAATTTTGCCGTTGGCATAAATCAACGATGGGAAAAAGGGAAGGAGGCGTACTACCATGTTTCTAGTCATTTGTTTTGGGCAACAGTTTTGCAGTCACCGCACGCAGGCGAGAGCGACACAGTTTTCATCTGGCCCCTTCAGCCCCTCGCTTTTATTATTTTTTCCTGGCAACAGAAGCAGGCATGGACCCAGAAGAAAGTGTGCACGGTTTTAGGGGGTGGTGGTCTAAAGGGGTTCACTGTGGGTGCACTAAGAGAAATACCAAACAACTAAAATCGATTTAAAGTAAACAACAAAATTTGTTGGAATTTAGCATTTTCTCTTTTCTATATGATATGTTTCATATTATTGAAAATACATTTGAAACAAAAGTTGAAAAATATAAAAATTTAATTCAGCGTTACCTACATACAATTGTTGAATAGGTTACGGATTTTAGATATGTTTTAAAATCAAAATATATATTTATATGGGGATGATTTTTTCAGTGTGCGGTGTGAGCGTTAGCGAGAATGAGCGACGATGTCTGGCACAATTACGCCAGCAACAACAAGTGCAACAACGAGCTGCATCTATAGTTGTACAAGAACAACAACAACAACAAGGAATAACGAAACCCCCGGCGGTCGTCGTTCCCGTTGTCGGTTATTACCGTTACTCTTTGGCGTCTTTAATTAGGGCGTGGGCAGCAGGCGCAAAAAAATTTAATTTGTTTGTAATTAATATGCTGAGGTTTGGTTTTGTCGGAAAGGAATACGTTGCATGAGGCATTGGTCACAAAGGCAGACAATAGAGCGATCTTACTAAATGAAATGTGTGACTCGGGAGAATTTAATGGCGACAATTAAATTAAAAAAAAAAAACCTTGAAATCATTGGCTGAATTTGGGGTTTCATTCTCGGCATTCGTGCATGTTTGCGCACGTTCATTTAAAATACGTAGATTGCGCTATTATCAGAGCTTTAAGAAACTGGCATACATTTTGCTTATTTATAATGATCAAGTAGAATAATTCGGTATCGACTTTATAAATATAAATAAATAATAGTTAAAAAAGCACTAATAGATCAGCTTCCTTTTTACAGTCAACACTCACCTGATGACCGACTTTAAAGTTTATAAGATCTTCCAACTGTTGATAATGTTCAGCCGCCCCATTTACGAAAATATACAGGATACCGCCGCTAGAAAGTCACTATCGCTTAATCAGTTTATTTACACGATTAACGGAACGCGATCCAAGCCGATTATAACAACTAACGGTAATATTAAGCACTCTATTTGGGGAATCCGTTAATATTGTAGTTGATGCTGCCGATGTTGACCGTCAGACAATAAAAACTGGCGGCGGCGCCGCGTGCACGTGGTTTTGGCCCCTGTTTGGGCCATGGCTGAAATAAGGTCCTTTGGCACGAAATTGAACTTGACTGAATTTCCCAGGGCTTATCTCAACGGCACTTCAAAGCACTCACAAAAAAATTGAAACAAAACGGTTGGCGACTACGCAAATTAACGAGAAAAACACTGTGAAATCGCGAGTTGGCTGGATGTTATAACTGTTTATCGTTCGCGAGTCTCCAAGTGTTGGAGCTTTTTATGCGTCGAGCATCCGTGGGGCTTGGAATTTGGTAAACAACTAAGTCGCGGCGGAGAAACATCGATGGTGTTAATAGTTCCAACACATCGATAGCTCCCCGCGACTATCGATGTTTACTGTTTAGGTGTTTGCCAGTAATAATAATTAATAATAATTTCCTTGTACATGAAAGTAAATGACTAAAATGTTATTTACGACCCGTTACTATAAATTATAATTTTAATAGCTGATTTCATTTGTCTTCACACTTTAAAGTTTGAAATTTAAAAAAAAGTATTGCCACACCCAAAAGCGCTCTTTATAAAATATGAACCAGTTCCGATAACTTGTACTGTAAATATTCAAGTTAAGCTTTAAAAACAATAAACAATAATATATATTTATTTATTTATATTTGAAATATTTATCAGTCAGACTTTTAAAATTTAGACGCCTGATATACTTTATATTGTTACAACACTATCTTAAAATCCAGCGATGCCTAACAATAACAGTAAAACATAGGTCCATCGATATTTCTTGTCCCATCACTAATTCGAGTTTTTTTTGTTGGGGTTTGAGGGATAAATTAATGCTGCGCTAGGCAAAATAAGCTGTGGATAATCCCGAAAGGATTGCCGGGGACCGCGGCCATGAATTTCCCGTTGGCGAATGCCAACAAGGACACTTTGAGGGCTGCCTGCAAGAAATGCGGCTACGCCGGTCACCTGACCTACCAATGCCGCAATTTTCTCAAGGTAAACCTGTGCGAAAACCGCATGTTCTACGGACCCAATAAATCCAAGCGCTATCCCCACTTCTAGGTGGACCCCAACAAGGAGATTTTGCTGGATGTGGAGAGCACCAGCTCGGACTCAGAGCTGGACTACCTCACGCCGCTCACGGAACTGAGAGCCCAGGAGCTAAAAGGAGGCGCTGAACTGCCACCAGTGGTCTCCAAGGGTAAAAACAAGGACCGGGGCAGGGACAAGCTCAAGGAGGAGGAGCGTGAAAAGGACAAGGACCGCGGGCAGACGAACAGGAAGCGGAGCAGCTCGAAACGGAGTCACAAGCTGGACAGCAAAGACAAGGACAAGAAGTCCCTGCGACACAAGAAGCGCAAGAAAAAGAGCCGAAAGCACAAAAAGTCGAGCAACGAGGTGGAAAAGCCAAAAACCAAGTCGGGCAAAAGACCCAGCAGCGGCAACACCAGCAAGAAGTCCAAAAGACGCCGCTCCTCCTCGACCTCCAGCTCCTCCTCATCGGATTCAAGCAGCTCATCGGATTCCTCAAGCGATTCATCCGAATCCGAGTCAGATTCCAGCGACAATGAGGAGTCCAGCACCAGCGAATCGGATGAGTACGGGCGCAAAAAGAAGCGGCAGGGCAAGTACAAGCGAAAGTCAACGGACACGGCCATGTTGCGGCGGAAGAAGACCAAAGTGAAGCGGAAGCGCCACCGCGCCGGCGGATCCGGTGCTCCGACCGCCGGTAGTAGCTACCTGAGCAGCCTCAGCGACAGCAGCACCTACTAATGGATCAGGATAAAGATCAGGACACACAGCTGCCTCCCAAAGCACTCGCTCCGTAAACTAGTTCGATTTCCGTTTAGCCGTAAAAACAGAGGGGGAACACCTGCCTTTCCCCCTATCTTCCACACAGAGACTGCCTCTAGTTCCAGGCCCGACAACTTCCCAAAACTCTTCCCCGGATTACGAAAGCAAACACTGAACCCTAGACTTGTCCTAGCCCTTAAGTTTCAGCAATGATCTGCTGCAAATACAACAAATTAGTTTGTACAAGAATGAAAAGTGATTGAAATTGAAAACTATATCTGGTTTTAAAGAAAGCTGGCGTTGTCTGGCTTGTATTTTTGGATATGCTTGGAGTCCTCCACACGCGCTATAATACATTTTTGGGTCAGAATACAAAACAATATGCAAAGATAGCTACTATAAGCGACCTCCGCTGGACTCGCCCGATTTCTGATAGATCCGCAACGCCTCCTGCAGCGCTGAAATGTGCCGCTGCATTTTGGCCATTTGATTGGAAGACTGCTCGCAATTGTGACACGTTGATACTGAGTTCAAGTCGTGGTGACCTTTGGTGGCCAGCAGCTGGGCATTCCGCTCCTTCAGATCGCCATTCTGGACGAGAAGCTCCTCGCAGAGAGCGCAGGCGGAGCAGCGGAGATCCTCGAGGGCCTGTTCCCTCGCCTTGAGGTTTCTCATCAGGGCGCGGTTCTCGCGCTTGAGGTTGAGAAGCTTCTGCTCCAGTTCCAGCATTTCATCCTCGCTGTCGCGTTCGAGCACCGAATCGCTATGCGCTTCAACCGGTGCTCCCGCCTTTCCCATGCGGTTCATGGCCTGCAGGATGGCGTCCATCTTGTGCTCTATCGAGAGACCCGAAGCCCGCTGTTCATCCAAGAATTTGTCCAGTGTCTTCACAGCACGAAGATTTTCAGAAGGTTTTACGGCGGGGTTGGCCACGGTCAGGGATTTACTGTGGTTATTTGATGAGCCTATGGGTCGTGGCAGTGGCGTGACTATCACATCCTCGTCGGCAGCTGCTCGGTCCGGTTCCTGGTCGGGTTCGTAATCGTCCAGCTTCTCCAGACTTGGAATTCCCACACGCAAACGCGGCTGCGGCTGTGGAGGACATGGGGTCGTCTCCTTACCGCTGGAACTACTGGATTTGGACACAGCCTGACGGGAGAGGGATTCCGAACTAGGGGAGGAAGTCTCGCTGGCAAACTGCTCCACTGGCAGTTGGTACTTGATCATAAAGCCTACGAACTCCCTCTCATCCGGCTCCTTGTCGAATCGCAGGCTCCAGAAACGCTGCTCGTCGTTGTAGAACTGCAGATAGGACTCCCGCAGGATCACTTTACCGCCACGCGGCCTCAGTTGCAGGGTGGTTAGCACCTGGTGCTTGCTCTTGTACACAATCAGCTTGAAGGCCTCCATCTCGCCCAAAATCGAGAGAGCCAGGCCGACGCGGCCCAAGTTCTCGGTGTTCTGATAGGCATGTACCACCTTGGCGATTACGGTGTTCCATGTGGCAGTGGAAGTGGGAGGATCCCCCGTGTCCGCAGTACTGCTCCTGGTTGCTAGCGGCTTCTTGGTACTCTGTGGTTTCTTGGAGCCACCCGGCTGGTAACGCAAGCTGGGCGATTCGTTCTCCAAGGGACGATCGTCGTCCTCGAAAATCTGACGCAGGTTACGGGGACCCGAGTCACTAAGCATATTGATTTGAATAGTTGCATTATCAAAGCCAGTAAACAATACACCTCCGACTGACTCACCTCCGCAACTTGTCAAAAAAGTCCTCGTGGGACATTGCCATGTCGCCTTCTTCCTCAACTACCTATGTATATATCAATTAGATCTACCCTGCCTTAAATATTTATCTACTTGTGTAGGAATATCAAAATTATGCGAAAACATTAATTGTTTTTGTTTTGTCTGCTGCAGCTGAACTTCGCCAAGTTCTGTTCAAGACCTGGTCACACAAATAATCGGTATTCATCGGCAACTGGGTTTTCAAATTCAAAACTAGTATTTATTCAAAAACAAATACTCGATATTGTGTATGGTGTTATCTTATTTAAAATTTAATATAATCGATTTATGGATAAAACTTTTGATTTCCACAGTCCTATTTTAATGGGCAAGTTTATTTTCTTCTATTTTTTCTATTTTTTTTTAAAAAGCTAAATCTGAGATGTTGTTAGTATGGTGGGCTGCTAATTCAACTAATAATCACTTTCTAGGAGCAAAGTGTTCCAGGATTTCATCACAAATTAATTGTATTTTATTTATTGCCGCTGACCTTTCGGTTCCTAAATCTCCGTGCTCTCAAAACCTTTTCGAGTTGTCACTTGAAAATCGGTAAAAGGGCTCTCTTATCAAATATATCTTTAAAAATATCTTCTTTTTTCTCTTCTTAACAGCTAAGATCTCTGCTCTCTGCAGATTCTTCCAGTATCAAAAAAAACAATATAGAGTATACGCACCCAGTTTCAAGGTTCTTGTTGCTGAATTCGAATTTCACAATGAGCCAACTTTCCAAAGGCCATCCAAAGCATCAGCAGGAGTACACTGAAAAGAAATGGGAACTTTTTGTAAAAATCAATTGGTCATAAGATTAGGTGACAAGAAACGTAAGTAAATAAATATTCGTTATAACTACATCTTGAAAATAGCAAATATATTGATAAAGTAGTTTTGTTCCATATCTATCCTATGAAAATGTTGGTTGAAAGAGACATAAATATTATTTTAAATCTAAGCTAGAGTTTATCTCAGTGTGGTTAACGACGCAGTTGCTCCCGATGTTGTTGCTTGATAAGCGGGAGAGCGCAACATTTACCGCTTGTTCAAGTGCGTTCATCGGCAATATTCCGGAGATAAGCGGCGACCCGCAGAGCTATAAGGTTGCCAGCAGCCCGGCAAGCGTTTCAGTCCGATCCTGGCCACTCAGCGCGAATCACCGACCCCATTTTATTACCCCAAAACCCACAATTCGTACCCCCCGCCAGACGAAGAGCACCTGTTCCAGCGATAAGCGTTCTAAGCCGTAAACACAAAGATCTGGTTACGTAAACAAGAAACAGAGAGCAGAACATGGAAGTACCGCCTCCGCTCGTCCTCAAGCGACCGCTGTATGTGCCCAGCAAAACGCTGATGGGTCCGGGACCCTCGAACTGCTCACATCGCGTCCTAGAGGCCATGAGCAATCCGGTGCTCGGCCACATGCACCCAGAGTGCCTGCAGGTGGGTACTTTCCTATCGGGGTTATTTACAATACTGCAATGGATCATAGATCTGTAGCTAATAGTCCAGGGGAAGCTGTCACATCTTCTTTACCATTTTGTTAAAACTTTCTTGCATATTGCACTCAAGTTAAATCCTACCTAAAGAATATCATTTGCATGCAAAATTATAACGCTAAGATCAAATTCGGGAAACCTTTCTATAAGTAAAAAGCTATCTCCCACACCTCTTCGATCCACAGATAATGGACGAAGTGAAGGAGGGCATCAAGTACATATTTCAGACCCTGAACGATGCCACCATGTGCATCAGCGGAGCTGGTCACTCGGGAATGGAGGCCGCTCTGTGCAATCTGATCGAGGATGGCGACGTGGTGCTCATGGCCATCACGGGTGTCTGGGGTCATCGTGCCGGGGACATGGCCCGTCGCTACGGGGCCGAGGTTCACTACGTGGAGGCGAGTTTCGGGCGGGCTCTCACCCTCGAGGAGATCACATTCGCCTTCGAGGCGCACCGCCCTCGGGTTTTCTTCATAGCCCAGGGCGACTCCTCGACGGGCATTTACCAGCAGAATATCCGCGAGTTGGGCGAGCTGTGCCGGAAGTACGACTGCTTTCTGGTGGTGGACACGGTGGCCTCGCTCGGCGGGGCCGAGTTCCTGATGGACGAGTGGAAGGTGGACGTGGCCTACACCGGTTCCCAGAAATCCCTCGGCGGTCCGGCAGGACTCACGCCCATATCCTTCAGCAAGCGCGCCCTCACTCACATCCGCAAGCGCAAGACCAAGCCGAAGGTGTACTACTTCGACATCCTGCTGATCGGCCAGTACTGGGGCTGCTATGGCACCCCAAGGATCTATCATCACACCATCTCCTCCACCTTGCTGTACGGATTGCGCGAGGCGCTGGCCCACTTTTGTGCAGTGGGCTTGAAGGCGGTGGTGCGCCGGCATCAGGAGTGCTCCAAGCGACTCCAGCTGGGCATCGAGGAGTTGGGCCTGGAGATGTTTGTGCAGCGGGAGGAGGAGAGGTTGCCCACGGTGAACACGATCAAGGTGCCCTTCGGAGTGGACTGGAAAAAGGTGGCCGAATATGCCATGCGCAAGTGAGTATTGCAAATTAATGACGTTCTAATTAAGAGCACAAAATATTGTTATATGTTGATTGTTATTTTCAGGTACAGCGTTGAGATCAGCGGTGGACTGGGACCCACCGTGGAGCACGTTTTCCGGATCGGTTTAATGGGGGAGAACGCCACTGTGGAGCGCGTGGACATGGTACTCAGCATCCTGAACGAGGCCATTCAGAGCAGCAAGCTGGGGATCAAGACGGAACGCTCCAAAATTTAATACCACTCAGCGGCATCTCCTTGTTTTTATTGGTTTTTTAAAAATATATATAAAATAAAATTCATATTTGAATATATTGCCGATTACAGATTTTTATCGTTGGTGCTGCCACTTGAAAATGTAACCCACGATTTTCTTTTTTGAATATCGATAGAAATTTTTTCTAAAAACATAGTTATCGAAGAGGCTAAACGTTTATGTTCCAGATGTCAGATTAATAGCGATGCACACGTATATATATCGATAAATATTTAAATTTAGCAGAGGGAAAACTGAGAATTGCGTTCATAACTAACTTATGTAGATAAAAAACCATCAGAGGAAGTAAGAAAATAAAAAAATTATCAGCATATTTTCTATGTATTCTATATGTAATAGAATAGATATACAGAAAGAAATATAAGTTTTTGTTTTGGGCAAGCCAAACATTCCAAAAGCACAAGGAAATGGCAAAAGATTCAATTAAAAATTACTTCAATTCATCTTTTGGGCACAAGATTAGGTACCACCACCAGTTTCAAATGCATTTTGTAGAGCACTCGGCGGAAAACAAAGCGCAACATAAGAATACAACTTAGATTTATTGAACACCGATGCAAAATCGGCTCGTCCAAGCACTCACAGACACTTTATATAAAAAAAAAAAAACAAAAAAAATTGTACACTTAAATGTTTATTTTTTATCAAACTCAGAGGACGCTACATTGCCCACATCATTTCATCATTGTGTACTTAAAGTCTCCATCAGCTCCATTAGCTCGTCAGGAAGGTCTAACCCTGCTTCTGGGCCAACTCGCGGGCCTTGGCGCGCTCCAGCTTGGAGATGCGGGCCAGACTCTTGGAGCCAAGGATACCACCGCCCCAGTGACGACGGATCTCCTCGTGGCGCTCGTTGAAGTTGGTCTTCACAGCCTCCAGGACCTTGCCGAAGTTGGCCTTGTCGTTGTTGTCGACGGTGGTCAGGGCGAGGGTGGTGCAGGTCTTGCGGCGCACCAGGCGACCCAGACGAGCCTTGCCCTTCACAATGCAGTAGGGCACACCCATCTTGCGGCAGAGGGCGGGCAGGAAGAGGACCAGCTGGATAAGGAGAGGATTAGAGAGACCATTAATAGGTGTCATGGGAAACCACGTGGTCGGGGCTTGGCTGTCTAAGTCTGTCTATTCTCAATTTGCACGTAATTCCGTAGGCTCTTATTACGAGCTTAATCTGTGGGTTGCTTGCAAAGCACTATCCCAGCGATCAACCTCAAGGAATTAAAAAATCAGGCGTCAAATTTCCACATGGCACAGCTTCTCGCCCAAAAGAGAGCGAGGGCTTTCGGTTGAAGAAATTCAAATGTTTACATCATGGCAAAAAGAGTATAGAAACTAAGTGGAGCCCCCATGAACAATGGATAACTAACCTCCAGGGGATCAACATCGTGGGCAATGACCACCAGCTGGGCCTTCTTCTGCTCGATGAGCTTGGTGACCGTGTTGGTACCAGCAGACACATAGCTGGGCTTCTTCTTGGGCTCCACATCCTTGCCCTTGGCCTTGGCCTCGGCGATCTTCTTCAATCGCTGCTTCTTGGCCAGAGGCGACTCGGGGCGGTACTTCTCCAGCAGCTTGAACAGCTTCACGGCGGTGGTCTTGTCCAGGGTCTGGCTGAACTGGTGGATTGGAGGGGGAACCTTCAGGCGCTTCTGGAGCACAGCCTTCTGACGCTGGACGCGGATGTATTTGGGCCAGCGCACGAAACGGGACAGATCGCGCTTAGGCTGCACATTCTGGCCTGTAAACGATGAGTATTTGGTTAAGAGATGCTTGCTTGCTCGTATCAAAAATAGAGTTATAGGAATCTTCAAAGATTCAGAGCTTATTCCTATAACTCTATAACATGTTTACTAATGATAGACGGTGCATACCGATTCCGAAGTTCTTGGGACGCTTCTCGAACAGCTGGTTGACGACCTTCTTGACCACGGGCTTCTTAACCGCGAGAGGGGCTGGAGCCACCTTCTTGGTCACTGGCTTCTTCTTTGGCCTGGGCTAAAATCAAAACATCAAATAATGAATAAACCTCTTCAGAAGAGAAAAACCAAAACACCAATTCCTTACCTTCTTGACAACCATTTTCAAGCAGTTGATCAAAAGTCTCTACTGAAATAAGCAGATGCTTAATTTGCTACAAGAGAATTGAGAAAACCATTAGCTTTAAACTCAAATGACGCTTTAAATCGCAGAAAGCTTGGCCGGTCAGCAAAACACGTGCAAAACAAAACCGAGCGAGAAACATGTCATGTGTGTGTGTGTGTGTGTGTGCGGTAAAAGGCTGTAAACAACTACTATTTTAGCACCATTTTTAATAATATTTGGGTGTTTTATTTGATTCTCAGAGTTCTCTTTAGTTTAAATATCCCTAAACCCACGTAAATCGGGTTTCAATCACAGCCCTTTCACAACACACACCCACAACCGCACACAAACACGCAATAACATGCCGGAACGCACATTTCTTGGCTAAATTGCTCAAATTTGTACTTTTTGACGAGAAAGAAGGATTTTACTTGTCAAATCCATATTTTATGTTGCATACACTTTGTTCTTTCAAGTAGCACTTCAAAATTCGGCTCTTGGGGCCCACAATAAAAAAAATAGAAGAAAAAAAATTGGTTTTGCACACATTTTCGCTGGCTATGCCACTTTTTGCTGATTGTTTGGGATCCAGTAATTACCTGGGATGAACACGACCACGAACGTATCGAAATACTCGCTGCAATTACAATAAGAAGAGATATTTTAAGTTAAAATGTTTGCCGGAGCTCGCGAAACACATGCACTCACCGGAAACGTGGAAAGGAAAAGACAGGAAACGGGGCTACCACTATTTGAAATCGAATTCGCTGAGTTGCATTGCCGACAGAATCACTTAGAAGTTACGGTACCACTAAACCACAGTTCTTAGACACACCGCGCACTTCGAAACCCCGCTAACGGTTAGCGGGGACATCCACCGATATATATTTAAACCAACAATTTAGGCCAATAAATCTTATGACGAGTCGTAATTGTTATTGTGTACGTAAATAAATAAAAGAAAAAGTTGCTAGAACTTTTTACCAAAAGTCTTTATGGTTACTTTTTTGTAAAACCGTTTTCTGGAAATATTAAGAGGCAACTGGTGGTTGCAGTTGCACTAGCAACCCTGGTCACTAAATTAAGCTGCAGTATTTTGCTAGCGGTATTTTCTTCTGGCCTTTTTAGCGCTTTCTTCTGTTGTCTCTCGCCAACTCGCTGCCCAAAAAATATTTCTCACCTGCGCTTGCGCTAAATGCTAAATAAACCGACTTTTAGCCGTTAAACGCGAGTGCCTAAGCCAAACTAAACCCAATCGGAGTGACTAGAAAGTGGAGTGCGAAGGCCCAGAAAAATGAAAGCCGCGGAAAAACAGGGCTAGCAAACGCAGGCACCAGGCCACCATTTTTAATTTCTTTGTTTATTTTGTGCCCATCTTCGCGAGCGAAAGAGACAGAGCGAGAAAGACAGAGGAGGAGTTGGATATTGAAATGGAAATGGAGTGAGCGCAGGGACAACGGATAGATTCCAGCCATGGCCAGCAGCGCTGGAAGTGCGGGAAGTATTTCCGGATCGGTGGTTTCCGGCGGAGGAGGCGGATCCGCCGCCTCCAGCTGTGGGACCATGGCCCTGTCCTCCGCCGGATCCGGTGTTCCGCCCGTGAACCACGCCCACGCCGTCTGCGTGTGGGAGTACGAGTCGCGGGGCGGCAAGTGGTTGCCGTACTCCCCGGCCGTCTCGCAGCACCTGGAACGGGCCCACGCCAAGAAACTGACCCGTGTCATGCTGAGCGATGCGGACCCCAGCCTGGAGCAGTACTACGTCAACGTGCGCACCATGACCCAGGAATCGGAGGCAGAGTCGGCCGGGTCCGGACTCCTCACCATCGGAGTGCGCCGGATGTTCTACGCCCCCAGCTCGCCGGCGGGCAAGGGCACCAAGTGGGAGTGGTCCGGCGGCAGTGCCGACAGCAACAACGACTGGCGGCCCTACAACATGCACGTCCAGTGCATCATCGAGGACGCCTGGGCGAGGGTGAGTGCGGGAACGCTAAGGATACCTCTTTCTGCAGATCAATTGGAGAATTGAAGATTCAAAATTTGATTGTTCTAGAAACCTCTGGGTAACCATAGATGTAAATAAATCTTTTTCGATATTTTAGAATTGCGATAATTGCATTGAATTAAAATTAAAAAAAGTCTCAGAGATTTCATTTCCCTGACACATGCAACTCCCATTTGAACTGCAGAGAAAACTTATTAGCTCCATAAAAAAAAATCAGCTTTGGCTCTTATTAATTGCATTCTTCCCACAGGGCGAACAAACCTTGGACTTGTGTAATTCCCACATCGGCCTGCCCTACACCATCAACTTTTGCAATCTCACCCAGTTGCGTCAGCCCAGCGGTCCGATGCGCAGCATCCGGCGAACCCAGCAGGCGCCATATCCTTTGGTTAAACTCACGCCACAGCAGGCGAACCAACTCAAGTCGAATTCCTCCAACGGGAGCACCCAATATAACACTCTTCCCAAACTGGGAGACACCAAGAGTCTGCACAGAGTACCAATGAACCGGCAGCAACATCCACTGCCCAATAGCCATCAACTGCAACAGCAGCAGCAGCAACAACAGCAGCAGCAACATCAGCAGCAGCAGCAACATCAGCAGCAGCAACATCATCACCAGCAGCATCAGCAGCAGCAGCAGCATCATCATCAGATGCAGCACCATCTAAACCACCACCAGACGGCGCCAAGGAAACCACCGAAAAAGCATAGCGAGATCTCCACCACCAATCTGCGACAGATACTGAACAACCTGAACATCTTTAGCAGCAGTACGAAGCACACGAACATGGCGACGGCGGCCAGTGCCAGTTCGTCCTCCTCATCGGCCTCCTTGCACCACGCCAATCACCTGTCGCACGCCCACTTCTCCCACGCCAAGAACATGCTGACTGCCTCGATGAACAGCCACCACAGCCGCTGTTCGGAGGGATCGTTGCAGTCGCAGAGGAGCAGCCGGATGGGCTCGCATCGCTCGAGATCGAGGACGCGTGCCTCGGACACGGACACGAATAGCGTGAAGTCGCATCGCCGGAGACCCAGCGTGGACACCGTGTCCACCTACCTCAGCCACGAGAGCAAGGAGAGCCTGCGCAGCAGGAACTTTGCCATTTCGGTGAACGACCTGCTCGACTGTTCGCTGGGCAGCGACGAGGTGTTTGTGCCCTCGCTGCCGCCCTCGTCGCTGGGAGAACGGGCGCCGGTGCCGCCGCCTCTGCCACTGCATCCGCGACAGCAGCAGCAGCAGCAACAACAGCAGCAACAGCTGCAGATGCAACAGCAGCAGGCGCAACAGCAGCAGCAGCAGCAGCAATCAATCGCCGGTTCGATTGTGGGCGTGGACCCGGCCAGCGACATGATTTCGCGATTCGTCAAGGTGGTGGAGCCACCGCTGTGGCCCAATGCCCAGCCGTGCCCCATGTGCATGGAGGAGCTGGTGCACTCCGCCCAGAATCCGGCCATCTCGCTGAGTCGCTGCCAGCACCTGATGCATTTGCAGTGCCTCAACGGGATGATAATTTCCCAGCAGAATGAAATGAACAAGGTGAGTGGCATTCAGTCAATTAGAGAGAGATGGAGAAAGAGGAAAGCTTAACGACTGGCTAATAACCTGCTACTAACATTCCATAGAACCTGTTCATCGAGTGCCCCGTGTGCGGAATAGTTTACGGCGAGAAGGTGGGCAACCAGCCCATCGGCAGCATGTCCTGGAGCATTATCAGCAAGAATCTGCCGGGACACGAGGGCCAGAACACCATACAGATCGTTTACGAGTGAGTTAAACCAGGTTTAATTCTTGAACTACGACTATAGAATTCTTCATTGCATTGCAGCATTGCATCGGGCCTGCAGACGGAGGAGCATCCGCATCCGGGACGAGCGTTCTTCGCCGTGGGATTTCCACGCATCTGCTACTTGCCGGACTGCCCGCTGGGGCGAAAGGTGCTGCGCTTTTTGAAGATCGCCTTCGATCGGCGGCTGTTGTTCTCCATCGGACGATCGGTGACCACTGGGCGCGAGGATGTGGTGATCTGGAACAGCGTGGATCACAAGACGCAGTTCAACATGTTCCCGGACCCCACCTATCTGCAGCGCACCATGCAGCAGCTGGTGCACCTGGGCGTGACGGATTAGTGGATCCTCCTTCCCAAAAGAACCAACCACAACCACCCACCCACCGAAGTCCCTGAACAGAATAGGAAACCCTCACCTCGACCACTCTCTTCCATTCGTTGATAAGTTACTTCCTACATAATCTCAGTGTGTGTGCAATCCTCGTTTACTATGATATATTTTTTTTATAGATATATTGTAATAGCGTTCGAGCTGCTCGAACCCTAAACAACAAACAGCAAACCACAATTGCAATTGTAGCTTCCTTTCCGCTCTTCCAATTCGTATTTGTACGCACTTAGCCAATAAGGACTCATATGAATCATATGTATTAGCTAGACTAGTTTAGTGTTTAGTGTTACGTTTAGTTCCCAAGACACCTAATAGTATTAGGCATTATCCTGATTTCAGATTCAGATTTCAATTCAAGCCACGTCACGCCATCCCTCAAGCATTCGAGTGTAAGCTGTGCCAAAATCGTAGTGCTCCCACGTAGGATATGTAAATTGTTGATATAGATAGCATGTACAACCGTCGCCCATCCCTCCGTCTCTCTCGATTTCGAATTTTTCAACTTTTTTTTTATCAGCTCTGTGCGTAAAATTGCTATAGGATTAGATTAATCGTATTAAAAGAGAGATGACTGGCGATGGGCGGACTCGATAGACTTGTCTCACTCGTCTTGGCCATTTAATCTCTTCCATTCAGCGAATTTGATGTGATTTTAATTTGAATTATTGATTAATAAACAGAGGGAGCTTAGTTGTAAATCGACAAGATATTCCATTATATATTATATATAAACAAAAGGCATACATTTATCATACCGCATACCACATACCGCATACAATTATTTTTTTAATCGAATCTTTTGCACACATTTGATGAATTGTTGCTTTCATATTGATATCATCGAACATCGCCAATATATATATACATATAGCCTATATAGCATATAGTTTTTAGACAGATCGTACGAACAGTAGCCGGCGGCTTTTGTCTGCGTCACCGTATTCGATTTGATATAATTTTACTATGTTGTATTTAGCACTGATTAGTTTTTAGTGTTCATTTTCCACAACAAATTCCACACCATAAATATATGCATATTATAATACATATATACAGTACATCAATATATAGTTCAAATAAAGTAACTTCATTTATGTTCAAATGAGTTTCAAGTTTTCATGGGATCGATGCTGACAAGTATTTGAGAAATTCAAATTGTTATTAATTAACGAATAAGGAAAAATTCCAATTGGGTGCTATTTGATAGTTTTTTTTTTGTATCTTGATTGCAGTGCAATTCAAATCAGTCTGTTGACATTTTTGGGACTTCCAAGGTTCGATTTCGATTTTGTTTTCAGTTTTCAGTTTTCAGTTGCTGCAGTGAATCACTTAAAATAAATTAATAAAAGACAAAAAATCAGATGTATTTTTTGTCATTGTGCGCAGTGCGTGCAGTGGCTGTTGCTGTTGGTGAAGTTGCTGCGGGCCATTTAAGGCGCATCGGCAACATGTTGCAGACGTGTGTTGTCACTGTGTCGCCTCTTCAACTGCTCCAGCTGCCTACGTGCTGACGTCAGACAGGCGCGCAAGGACAGTGTCCAAAAGTGGCCAAAACAACGTGGCTCCGCGCGGCTTTCACTGCTCCTCGAAGGGCGGTCACCATCATCTTCCCGCACCAGAAACCTCCTCAGCCAGCAGCAGCTGTTGCTGTTGCAAGGCGCTAATTGGCGTTAGATGGATTTGTTTACCTGTCAGCATGTTATAGTAGTTATGGGCTATCAAAAAAAAAGTATTAAGAAGTTCCCTGCCCGGCTGTGGCATCTGGAAATGCTTCATATTGCAGTAAGTTGCAGTATCTCCTGCAGCTTAACTTAAAAATTTTCTAAATATTTCTAAATAGAAATTAACACTGGACGTTGCAATGTTGTTGGTGCTGCTCCTGCTGATGCGGCAGTTCTCCTTGGGCCAGTTGCATAAGCAAATGTTTTCCTAGAATTTACAGCATTTCATGCGATCTTTATGCGACTGACAATGATCGCTGATCGTTGACATTCAACACACGCACCCCGTCGATATATACTATATACATATATATATACTATATGTACATATGGGGAAAGAGAGAGGTGCGTATTGGTGATGAGAACGCTAATAAGGTGGTTTTGGCCAAAACGAAAAGCCTGCTTCACTGACCCTGTGGCAATCGCGTTATTTCGGCCTCAGCCTCGTCCCGGCCATTTTTATTTTCATTTAGTGATAAACACTGGGGATAAGGCCACTCGACCCAGTCCTCTTTCCCCGTTTCCAAATCCACACATCTAAAACCAAGTGAATTGTCTTTGAATTGGAGTGACTGACTGGGAAATCCTATAAGAAAAGTGTGCAAGAGTTTGGCTCGCATGTCTTTGGTTCCTGTTTACGTATGTTCTTGTTTTTAATCTGTTTTTTTTCTGGTTCCTAACCTGCACTCCCAGTGGCCATTAGTCATGCAAATGAGCTGGGATCATCAAGTTATGTTGCTCTGTTGCTCGCTCTCAGCCTCCTTATCTCTCAGGATCAGCTGAGGCAGAGGCGTTGGCAGATACACTCGAAAAAAGTATTAGTTCAAGACTGTATTTAAAGAACGGAAACGCAAACGTCATGACTTAAAAAAAGTCCTTGAGTGAAGTGTTTTTTATTGTTAAAAACTACTTCAACTACTTCAACTAGTCTTTGATAATAAAAAAGCCTAACTCCTTTTCTAATTCTCCAAATTGAGAGCCAGAAAGTATGCAACATGTTTTCTGGGGTCACTTTCCTTTGGGAACAGCATGCAAATGCTAGTTTTCAACATTTTTTACCCAAGTGTAGAGAACGTTGCAGTGGCAGTTGCGTCGACGCCGGCGTTTGGGGCGGCCGAGAGAGATCGCGCCTAAATGCAGCAACAACAGCGGCTTGCAATCAGTCAAGAGCCTCCGCTCGTGCCAGCCGCATCAGCCACGCCCCTCAGCCATCCGCCCCTTTTTCGCCACACAAACCAAACATCGAACTTCGTCAGTGCCACACTTCGATAACTCGTTGAAAAAGTGTTTTTTTTCTTTTTGTATTTGTTGACTGGATATTGTTGCAAAGTATTGTATTCTATTTTTGTGAAATATTTGTTTTGAAGTGAACAAGTTTTTTGTTGTTTTTTGTTATCTTCGTTGTATCGGCAGCAATAGAAAATAATAAATAAACCACAAATCAATCAAACAATCTCGGAGTGGAAGAAAAAAGGCAGCGCCCGCCTTTTTTTTTTAACCGCGCTCAAGTCGCTGACAACTTTTCGCCGGAGAGCCAGCCGCAATTTGATCTTTCCGTAAATTAAACTATTACTGTTTAAATATTTGCCAAGAACACAAAAATAACATACGTTGTTCGCTGGCTGCTCGCTTCGGTCCCGTCTAAAATTACAAAAGCCTCGACAAAGTCGACGAAGTCTCTCTGATAAAAAAGTAGCAGCAGGTGAGTACACATACAGTATGCACAGGTAGTACGAAAACCAGAGATAAACTCGATGGGAGAGGCCGAGGTGCAAGACAGACTACAATGTTGGGGAGGAATTCTAACAGTTTTGCGGTGATTTCTGCGGTTTTCCTGCTGACTGGCGGCGCCAACAAGCGACGTTGGGTTATAATTCAGAAAACATGCACTATATCCCACAGACAGACAAATAAGGTTTAAGAATGAGTTAGTAAATAGTAAAGTTCCCCTCTGAAGAAAGCTCTTGGCATTTCCACAATCGAATTTGCATCGCCGCTTAGTTCGTTGCCATAAATCTTGGCTGGCCAAAAGCGAGCGATTTTCGATAATAAAACGGTTTTTAATTGCCCAACAGCGAAATACGACGGCTTCGTTTTTCCGTTTTGGTAATTTATGAATTTATGCGATCTGCGAGCGGCGTTCTTGGGGCATTGGCCACACGCCAGCCTACGCGACTTGTATAAGGTATGACATACGGATCGGGCAGACATATCTTTATTGAACTCTATTGAGTTCTGATGGATGACCCATAAATGCGTTAAATGGATGTTCGTCTGACGGCTGAATGCTTTGATTTGTTTCGCATTTCAATATTTTGTTTAAATTGTTATGGCCGACGGGAGGATTACTATTACAGATTAAAATAGGCATTGGGTTAGAGTTACTTTTGGGATTATACACAAACGAATTGTATTGTTATGACTAAATCTATCGTAAATTAGACTTTATTGGATCTTTTTTTCTAGAGCTTTGCCAATTTTAGTGCGCCCACGGATTAATCAGGTGGAAGCCTTAGCTTGACACTTTTGAGCAGGGGATTGCTAACTTATCCAGACTGTTCGACCTTCCGTCCTCCATCCGTCCCCTTAGAATTCACCTGCAAGGTGCTCCCTTTCAAGCTGGCTAAGTTTTCAAGTTCAATTGCTCGATTGAATGGGGTTCTGCGGCCAGCGAGTGTTTGCCCAATTGTGGTTTTGAACTTGTTTGGCTTTTGGCCGAGCTTTTCCCCTAACAACCCCCTTCTAACCGCCTTCTTTACAAGCACTGCCAGTTGACCGAGCTCGTTGATGCTAACCAAAAGCGAAACCAAAATGTTGCGGCCGTACTGATCAAGCTGGCGACTCAAATCACAGAACAAAAACTATCTGAAATGTGTAGTAGTAAGGAACTGCATATATTTCGATTCTCAAAAAACATTCATGATTAAAAATATATGTACTTTATATATTGTAAAGTGCCTCCTTCACTTGCAAACTTCTTACTGAAATTATAATACCTTCTGCAAGAAAACAGTTTGATGATTAGTTTTTCTCCGTGCAATTCCGATGCACTTGGCTGTGTCAATTGTGCGAGTGTTTTTCGAATTTAATGTGAATTTGCGGCTGCTGTCCATGTTTGAAGTTGTCCATTTACGGGGGAAATGTCACAACACAACGTTCGGGTGTGGGGATCTGACCAATTCTGGGCGATTCTATCCGATTCTGGCTTGCCTTGCTCACAGTGCCCATAACACTGATCATGATCGATGGCAACTGATATTACTCGGTAAACTTTGCGGAGCCCCGGAGGCACCAGCGACAAATTATAAACATCAAATAAATCAACATGAGAAATGTGCAGCGAAATAATTGCATCATCAACCAAAACAGAAAAGTGTCTGGAAAATAATAATATAATATCTTGAACAATGTTTTCTGTTTTCCTTTTTCAGCCAAACTTGCCATGGAGGTGGAATGCGATTTGGGTGAAATACAGAACGAGGAGTTGCTGAGAAAAATGGTAAGTTTAAAGGAACTCTTTTTAAGATATTCTGTAGCAATAATACAAAACACCAAAGTGATTATTATTCTTAAACAATTCCTTTATTATAATCCATTAAATGGAGTATTCTGCTTGTGTGGCCAATAACTGGCATCAGTTCATTGCCTCCTGGCCGGACTTGTGTCCCCGTTCCCAGCTGAATGCCAATGGCATTGGCTTTTAAAGCCCTGCTTTTCCCCCAGACGACACTTTCGAGAACTGGCCAGAAGCGATCCAGACCATCCATGGCTCGAGATCCACTCACTCGGTTAGTCAGTCCCGCCAACCCAGGCCGAGCCCAGTTCAACCTGGCCAAATTGGGTCATTTATGGGGTTGCTCACTGTAGCTCGCTCGGCGGCGTGGGCCGCTAGTCGCTGACTTGGCTCAGACATTTGCAATAATCGTTAAAAAGTCGTTAGAAAAGTCAATGGAAAAACGATGACGATGTCGCATCGGAGACCTGGCCAAATAAATGATCTATCTATCTGCATTAGTGAAGAATAAAATGGAGATAGATGGGCTTAAGCGAAGATTCAAATACCCTTGGTAGCGCATAGTTCACATAATTCACAGATCCAAGGAAAATCAGTCATATTTATTTACGATCCTATGTGGGAATTATATTCTAAGATTATATTTTACAGGTTTTATATTAATACCTAATATAAACCACATATGTATATGTGAATATATACTATATATATATATTATATAGGTGAATTATACCTTTGAAAGGGTATACTCGTGTAGGTGAGACAAAAAGAACAAGAGACCGAATAAAGCAGACGACAGAAGAAGCAGCAGCAGACGATCGATGGCCCACGCAGCCGGCTTTGGGGAGAAAGAGAAAGATGGTGGCCGAGTGAAAGACGGAGAGAGCGATAGAGTGGGACAGAGACAAATTGGGAGGCTGCTGCGACTGCGCTGAAACTGCGCTGCGACTGCGACGAACACTGGTAAAAAGCCTGCGACGATGACTCATTGGCCATGAATCAATTTCAGCTTTGGCCTCTGAGCCCGCTGAAATGACCGCTGATGGCCACCTCTTCCTCCTCTCTTTCTCTCCATCTTCTATCCTTTGCTCCTTATACAGGGATGGGAATACATACATTAAATTATTGTAGAGACCTCAAAATCAAATGAATTATAAGAGGTGTCAAGGATAATTTAAAAACGTTTTCCGACCCCATCAAAAAAAAAGTTGAATATGTTATATTTCGACTTTATGTTCAATTAAGAATATTAATATTAAGAAGATGCTACCTTGCTCCACTTTTTCAGATCCTAGTGCTTGCTAGTGAAATAAACTAGCTTAAATTAGTAGGCTTCTCATAGTTTTCTGGCCAGTAATTGCATCCCTGGCGGATCAGATCTCAGCCCAGAATAAAACGAAACCCCAGAAAGAAGCGTTGGTTGGCTGCGATCCGTGTTTCGTGGCCATGAGGCGATTCAATTCAACTTCGAGTTCGATTCGATTCGTTTCAGACCCGAACCGAAAAATCGCGTGGGTCGCCAGCCGTCGACTGCTGAATAAATCAGTGAGCCAAAGTTGAATTGGCACACACGGAGTAATGAAAATGAAAAAAAAAAAAAAAATAAATAAATAAAACACCCGCGTATGGCAAATGGCCAAATGCAGCAAGTGGACCAACGGACAGTGGGCCACCAAACTGGACGGTGGACAGTGGAGTGAATTAGAACGACAGTCTAGTCACGACGTCTGCGTCTGCGCAACGTCTGCGCCAACGTCGCCGATGAGTAATTTTGGCTTACTATTTTGTTATTTTGTGGAATAGTGGGCGCCAGCGGCTCAAGAGCTTTCCGAAAACGCTGGAAATAGTTTCCAGCTAAATAAAGGGGTTTATTAATAATTTGCAACAAAGACACCCACCTCCGGACGCCGATCGAGTGATTTATTATTGCCGATCCGTAAGACCACGGATTCCTTGCAAAACCGAAATCGAACACGTACATATTTTTGTAAACGGATGAGCGGATGACCAATATACAACAATAATGCGCTTAGATAACATAATAATTTTTAATTTCGAACATTGTCTCGAATTCTCTAAATAATTGCATTATGGGTTTCCGGAAAATTTACCAAAATCCTTGGAATTTTGGTTCAATTTCGAAGTGGCATGCTACTTGCTTTCACTAACAAATTATTGGCTTATTTCTATGTGACCCAAAACAGCACCTTCAGGAGCTATAACTGCAGTGCTGACCCAATTTGCGATCTTAATAAATTGGTTGTTCTGGCTGGTTTGCCCCATTTGTGTCACTGTGCGGCTCAGCAGTCGCGTCATCTTCGTATTCGTCGCTTTTTCGTATTCGGTCATATCTCGGTTCGCTGCCGTCGCGCTGCCGGCGTCGTCGTCGACGTCGTCTGCCGGTGACGACAGCGTTCAAGCGGCAGCGGCCACTTTAGGCGGCTTTGATTCTGATTGGAAACTTCAGTCTGATTTTGGTGCTCGATCGATTGCAACGTGCCGACGCTCCGTGAAAACAACATCTACCCAAACAACAACGCTCAACAACAACCGCCAACAACGATCGCCTATTTTTTTTAACACTCTATTTATTTACCACACGAAATTTAAAAAGAAAAAGAGAAATCCACAGGATTAGTCACACCCCTTGCCCCCCAAGTGTTTTTTTACGTGCTTTTTGCCGGTGCAACAACAATCCAATAAAAACAACTCAAACCACAGCAACTCAGTAACGAGGAGAAGAATTTCCAAGTCAAAAAAAAAGAAAAGAAAAAAGGAATACAAATTCTTTTTACCTGAGGTAATTTTCTGTCATTTCGACCAGAATATGGGGTATAAAACGTAAAAGAAGCTGCGAAGAGGCCGTAAAGCCATCTCCTTTAACCCTCGATCTCTCCATCTCTTTTACTCATTCACCGTCTTCTCACAACTTTCACACTTTCGCACAGTTAAGCTTAACCTTTTTTTCCCAGTCTTTGCATAACAGTTAGTCTATATCTCTGTATAGTACAGTAGACGTTGGCATTTAAGCTAGTCGCCAAGTAAATTACTCGCAAGTGAAGGTAAACAAATTGGCCCATGACGCCCCCACAATATATTATTTAGTAGTAAAATCAATAGTTAAGGTAATTGCGGTGGTTAAAACGCATTTCATTTTTCCTAGCTGCATGGGAAAATGGTCAAGTGCAATTTCGTAGACATTGTTTGCAAGCTGAATTGTCGGAGAATTCTTTTGCAATTCGTCACGCTGGTCAACTGATTAACTGCAGACTTACTGCTTACCTTTCGAATTATCACCCATAGTTTTAAATGGACAGACAAAATATTTTGGTTTCCTGAACAGTTGTGAAAGAAGCCCGGCCTGCGCCCAACGCCTGCCAATTAGCGAGCGACACCTGTACCTCATTGTACACATATTTATCTATCTCTAGCTGTATCTGTAACTGCGCCAAGTGGCTTGTAAACAAACAAACGGATCTTATCGTGGAATTAGTGCTCAGTTTGTGGATTTTCGTCGCCAGTTGATCGAGGATCCCGACTAGAACAGCTGACAAGGGCGGGGGCCTGACTAAGCAGTAAGAGTTATACGGAGGGGGAGACATACATACATATATGCTAATCGGGAGTGAATCTAATTACTAGAGAACAAGTTTACACCGCCGTGGGCCGTCGGCCTTGATAGCCGTTCTACGCTTTTCCACTTTTCCACTCACGAAACCAGATCACAGCCGAAAGGGTTTTGTTTTCGGGGAGCGGGGCTCTGCCTGAAATTATCCATGGTAATTGCTCCCATTGTCGGAGATAGATGTTCCGATAAATCTTCGCTGTACTTTATATGCAAAACTTTGTTGGTTTATCTCCGGAAAATCTCTCTATAAAAAAGGTCGAGCTCAATACAAAAAATAAAAACGCCATCTGTTGCGAAAATGATTCTGCTGGGAAATATTTCGAGAGCAAAAATTATATTTTTTAATCAACGAGCAAAATTATTCATTTGTATCTAAATTTGTGATATTTGTAAGTTGTTCTTGAAGCACAAGATGGTGATCTATCTCGGAATCACAATAATGACTTCAAATTAGCCAAAACCATAATTTGAGAAAACAGTACAAATGGTTTTCCGGACTGCGATACAAAAACTCCACCTGCACTAATGACTGTGGCTCCGATAATTGTCTCGAATATATGTACGTACGTTATGCATTAAGATATTAAGATATTTTCCCCCTCTTCCGTTTTCGGGTATGAGATCATTTCGGGCTTAAGATTTATTCGAAACCTAGTTGTTTGCGCCGCCTTGCTTTGTGCCCCGCCAATATGGTGACGATTGTCGGCTATATATCACCTACGGATCGAAGCTTGCATTATAATTTCCCACACGCTTAACCATTTGACAGGTGTCCATCGATCAAAAAGCCGAAAGACCGAAAACCCAAAAAGCCGAAAACCGAAAATTGAGTTATTTTGAACGTTTTCCCATGGCTCAACAACAGTGAATACCGGCTAATGTGGGTCCAGTTTGGTGGGGTATTTTGTATGCAGGCGACGGCCCACGAAAGTGCTCCACTTTTAGAACTCGGTTGGGGTTTTATAGAGCCATGTTTTATTCACCTGGGGCGACGTCATACCCAAAATAAGAGGCAAACAATTAAGAGCGAAACCGAAAAACACAAATAAGTCCACGAAAGCAAACATAAACATGTTTTGACGCTCAGCCGGCTTCGCTGCCTTCGTCGACTGCAAATGACACAATTCAAAAATTCTAGATGCCATATATTCCCCATATTCTCGATTCGCAATTGGGCGGTCAGTGGCAATTAGGTCACTTTAATATGCATATGTACTCAGTTCAGATTGAGGGGGAATCGGAATTGAAGCGAAATTGAAATCGAAATTGCCATTAAACTACAAAACAAAGCAAACACAACAAGTGACGCCAATTAACGTCGGCACCAAAGTGCAAAGCAATTTTTTAGCAGATTTTAGTGCTTCACCGCTTGCTGCTAACTGGAGAAATGGTACCTAAATAAGCTGACTATACATTTTTAAACTAACGGTTTATTTAGTCGTAAACCCTGCGTATGAGTGATAACTGCGTATGAGTAATAAATTGTAAAGCCAACATTTTTTATTGAGAGCTTTTTCCTTCCGATGACTTTGATACTAGTTGGCGAATTCTAAAGTTATTAAATGTAGCAACACAATTTAAGATTATAGGAATTTTAATCGCAAGTTTCACGTCGTGCATTTTTCTTCTACTATCTTGAACTTGAAAATATATGGTGGCATTATCTATAGGGAAACATTCAGTTAAATATATATGTATACTAGTAAACCCAGCGAACTCCGTTCCGCCACCAGATGGCGATAGTTTTAGCTAAAACTTCGTTTGGTGTTTAAAAGATAAAGAAAATTTTTTTTTGTTTTATATATGAAAAGGAAAAATTTTATTTCGATACCATTAAAACTTTGGCCTTTTCCGAGTGTTTTGCAATATTACACGTTGGTTCCTCAATAATTTGAAGATTTAACGGTAATTTTAATGCTAAATGAGCCGTTTGGCATCCTTCTAACAATATGGCTGCTATTCCCAAAGAAGCAACTGCAACAGCTATGTTGGATCTCGCCCGAACAGTTGCTAAAGCTAATGACATGAGGAATGTCTTGTCAGTACCACCAGGGGCATCTAGGAAATATAAACCACCATTTTCTTCATCGATTGCCTTCATTAAAGTATTATAAACTTTCTTCTGTTGGGAATTCAACAGGGGTACATTCGCTTGAACTAATAAATTTAATTCCTGGTGATCATATTCACGTTCCCGTTCTAATTCTCGATTAAATGCCTCATTCATTTCACGATTTGGCGCTGGCATTCTAACCTGATTAATATATTACCGCACATGAGGTAACACATATATTATCTTCGATCAAGAGTAAAACCCGATAATGTATCTCCTCATTCATCAAATTGTTCACAATCAGGATGGCGACTTCGTCTATTGTTGGAGCATTAAATGTCCTTTCGTGTGTTTTAGATGGTCGTTTATCTGCTTTTATGACAACTTTATAGTCATCATTTGGCATGCGCTCTAAAGCACTCTTAAACAACCTGACCATCGCATGATGTTCATGAACCAGACACTGCATGTCTTGAAGAATTGCTCGCTTCATCCCTTCATTGATCGCTAGACGTCGATCAAGTTGTTCTTCCATGTTGCCCATGAAATATATTTGTAAAAATTTTTTTGTGTATCTTCGAAAGGTAGTAATGATCCAATTCGATGGTGAATCTGCCCTTGTATCTAAGATAAAGTAAGTTATTCTTTAACTATATTCTATGTAATACAAACAAAAAAAAAACCTTAAATGTCGGATTAAATCCTCGTTCTTCGATAATATCTGCCCCAAATGACGTCATTTGGAAACAACCATTGTATTTTCGGGTATTTGCAAGAAAGTGGCGTGATTCTTGTGTTTCACCACAAAGCAACGAATACAATGGCTCAGGTGGCGGAGTCAACAATGGCAATTTAACTTTACCATTAAAGCAGCATAATCCAGGCGTTTCTCCGGAAAACTTCAGTGCACCGCAATACTCGCAAACAACGTCCATTTGCCCAATGCAAACGCTAGGATGCAAGCTGTAATCAGTGATGCAATCGTATTGAAACGCTGCTCGATTCAAATCAGCACTTGATAAATTTCTTCTGCGTCGCAAATGATCTATTTCTTGACCTCTGTTGTAAGCTCGACGATTCTGCATTGTCAACCGAGCCGTATAACGGATTGCCTCTCTTTGCTCTGCTGATTGAGAAGCACGAAGTCGACCTATTCTAACGCGGTTCTGTTCACGTTCAATGTTTTGTTCTTCTTCAGACCTTCCATTTGCAGTATTTTGTAGTCTTCTTGCATTACGGCTTTGTCGGGAAAGATTCGATCGTCTTGGTCGCGGCATTATTAATTAAACTTCCCTTCACTTCAATTCACAAAAAGCACGAAAAACTTCACTTCACTTCAATTCACCAAAATCACAAATAATTTCTACTCACTTTAAAAAAATTGAGTTAAAATGCTATGGTAGTGTGTGCTTGTCAGTTTGATGAGGTAATAACTCAGTTTATATGCGATTTTTGGTATGTCGAACGGAATAAAAAGTACCCTAACTCCTATTCCGGGCTCTAAGCTACCTTCCTACCAATTTTCAGCCAAATCTGTTCAGCCGTTCTTAAGTTATAAGTGGTGGAACTAACACAACTTGCTTTTATATATATAGATTATTTTTAAACGCTTACTATCTGGCACTAATCTTAATTTTTTATGTCATATCTCGATGCATGTTCAATTGAATGAGGAACCATTTAGTCATGAGCTAATCGCAGCCAAGGTTTATTTGTACAGTGAGCACCGACTAAGTGAGAGCGCCTCAGCTGACCTCTTGACCTTCTCTTTCGCGGTTTCTCGTTGTCTTTTGATTTCCTCTCAATTAAGTTTTAATAAAGTTTAATTTCAAAAACAAAAAGATTTTTTTTGACGCAAAAAAACACGAAAAGTTGGAGGTCAACGTTGCTGACACGACAGCTAAAAACGAAAAACAAAACAAAACCATCCAAAAAGCAAAAAAAACTTTAAAATAATTTATCAGCATTCGCACATCAACGAAAACTCGCACGTCACGTCATCAGACAGAGACCGAGATAGCGGTAAAGAGCGAGAGGAAAGAGCGGTCCATCCCATCATTAGGTCCGCAATCGCAATCGCAGTCGACGTCGACGCCAACGCCAACAGGTTGCCGCTGCCGGCGTCGCTGCAGAGGTGCGAAATCTGCTTCTTCTTCTTTTAAAACTGGTTATCAGAGCCTGGTACTTTTAGACATTACGTCATTCGGGCAGAGACAGGGGCAGAGGCACAGCTAGACTGAGAAAAAGTGTTTTAATAAAAAACGACCATCATTCAGATGTTATTATTATTAATTTAAATAATATGAATGCCATTTTAAGGGATGACTACCAAAATCTTAGGAAAGGTTCGACGAAAAGTAGTCACTTCGAAATTTTTCTCAGTGCACGAAACAAAACAGAGGCTGTGGCAGCGGCGCAAGCAGAGGCGTTTTAAGACGCAGGTCTAGACTGCGACCACGCGACCAGTACTTAAAAAAATCTCACACCGAAAGCAAGCAAACAAAAAAAATAAACAAAAACAACAAAGCCAAGTTGCAAACTTTTTGCACTGTCTGTGCAACAAACACACTTGAATGTTTCTTTCTATGATTTCGCGCGTTTTGTTTTATTTTATCAATTCGAATCTGTTGATTTGGGCGAGTGAAAGCGCTGGAAGTAATGATAGCGCCATCTGTCGTTCCGTTTTGTCAGAAAAGAAAGCACCAACTTCGCTATCAATCACTTGGGGATGCCACAAAATATACGATTTCGCTAATAACTGGGGAAGTGGCAGAAACCATAAATCTCTGGGAGTTGCTAGGAGGGTGGGATAAAGGTCTCCAGCTGATCTAATTAAAACTGGCTATTCTGAGTTGACCATATGGCCATGCGATCTTAATTTGAGATTTCATATAACCATGGTCCATTGTATCAGCGAATTTATTTTGGCGAAAGTTAGTAATCTTGACATTGATTTGAACTGAATTAGAATTCAGTCTTTAAATTACTCATAATTTCACCTCCTAATCTCCCCATTCCGCTTATGGAAGTTCCATCCATCATAAACTTGAAGCTAGATTTTAACTATTTATCAGAAAAGCATTTATATTTCCATTTCCTACATCAACGTTCCACTGAGTAGAGTTCCATTTGGCTTCGGGAAGTTTCCCATTTGGCTGTCATATGGCCTCGGTTTGGCTAAAATTAAACAGTTAACCCATTCCCCTCTCCTTTCCACCCACTCTGCATAGAGATCGAGGTGTCATTATTGTTAATACAAATGTTATTTGACATGCTTTCCGCCAAAGCAAAACTGGTCGTGTTGAGGCGAGGTGATATCACCGCTTCAACTTCACTCAATTTGTTTGCTAACGATATTGCGATCGCTATCCTGTCATCTCTCTCTCTCCCCCTATAAAGTCTGGCACCTTTGTAGATAGATTATTGTTTAAATAAATACGATCATATATGAATCGTTATGCGAGGCTCTTTGTTGTGGCCAAGCCAATACGATCCGCTTATCGGTCAGTCGGAATTGTTCCATGTTTATTTATAAGCTGGAAACGTCAGCCACCGATTTTGATTCGGTTTCGATAAGCAGGTAAGAATGCGAGCACCCGAGACTTCCACAGAAATAGGGAGTAACTGGAGCAAGTTCCCGTAAACTGAAATCAGATTCGGATGGGCCAAGTGCCTGGCATCTATTCTTTGTTTTCGTGTCGGTGGACTAAGGTTAAATCAAGTTCTTGGACCTTCGCAATGACCAATTTTGTGTTCAAAAGAGATTACTTTTTGATTATTATTGTTGTGAAAGCAGTCCCCATAAATCAGTCAACGCATTAGTCATTCAATTTGTTACCCTTACGTTAATCCCAGCCATTTTTGGCAGTCAGTTGCTTCTGCCATTGAAATCCGAGAACTTATGGGGGCGTCATCTTTATCATCATCGATTCCCCGGCTAGAAGACCGACTCGATTCATTTTCTATCTATATGGCTAGTGGTTGAGTCAGTCGATAGCGAATTGCAGTGGTTGTGTTGGTTGACCGGCTAATTGTTACTGGTCTGGATGCCATAAAAGGCGATTCAAACCGCTCGAAGCGAGAAGCGTGGGCTCCCTGCACTCCACTTGGACTCACTCTGTTTTCCACTTCACTCGCAGGCACGCAAACTTGAGCACGAGCTCATTTGGTTTAATTGGCTCAAGGACGGAACTGTTTAAAGATACAGTGTTGTGAGCAAAAAAAAAAAAGACAAAAGAGTTTACATGTTATCCAAACGCATTTTACTGATTATAATGCATTCTTTTCCGATCCTTTCAGTGGCAGCAGTCCGAGGACAGCGAACGCAAGAAGCAGATCCGATCGCATCTCTATAAGCTGCGTGAGTCGCGACTTTGCAACCTCTATAGGCACGAATCGGAACCAATGTCGGAGCCCAACGGAAACGGACATGGCAACGTGAACTCGCTGGCCGGATACGCAGGCAAGGATCCATTGGCCACCAGCCACGGGGATGCTCTGCTCGACCAGAACTTTCAGAGCCTCAAGTCCAAGGAGGTGCGGGATTCGACCAGTCCCACCCATGATTTGCGGTTCCATTCGATGACCCTCAGCCAGCCCAATACCACCGGTTGGGATGTGCAGACCTCGTCGGAGGTCAGTCCCGATGGACGGGCCTATCGCACCGAAACTCTGGCCAAAACAGATGGTGAGTCCAGATCCTGACAGAGGATTCGTTTGCTTGGTGGTAGCCTCTTGTGTCTGGCTAGCACCTAAGCTGACTGAAAGTAACACTTGCTGTAGGTCCACTGATTGACTGGTTAACCTAGTGAAATACATAATACACTTTCACTGCTTTTTGTACGATTGTTAAAAATTAAAAATACAAAAGTCGTAAATAAACGCAACCAGTCAGTCAACAGAGTCTGCAGCAAGTGTCCAACGAAGCTAACCCCCTTGTCCCTTGTCGGTGAAGTTTTGTGTATAACTCCAAACTCTGTTTGTTCTGTATGTCCATGTCCACCATTCGACCTTCCACCCAACGACCTATGAACACCCCGAACACCCAATCGCAGGCGTGGAGAAGCTCAATGGTGGTGGCCTGGCCGAGTTCAAAGGTCGCAACGAGCAGCGCTCGAGTGCCTCTCATCAGGGCGATGACAAGAACTTCGTGAAGCAGGCGTCGGACAGCTCCAAGACCCAGCTCCAAGAGACGGTGGTCTTTGGGGACGAGACCAGTGGTCGCACCGAGATGAAGATGAGCTCCACCTCCACTTCGTCCTCCTCCAAGGTGGTGTCCTCCTCATCCACAGTAGAGTATGGCGATGAGCCGCGCTACCTGCTGGATAGTCAGGAGAAGTCACATCATCAGCGCGACTGGGAGCAGGATCAACGGCGTCAAGAGCAGCGCATCCAAGAGCAGCTGCAGCGACAGGAGCAACAGCACCGCCAGGAGCAACTGCAGCGTCAGGAGGAGTTCCAGCGTCAGGAGCAAGTCCAGCGTCAGGAGCAAATCCAGCGCCAGGAGCAAATCCAGCGGCAGGAGCAACTGCAGCGCCAGGAGGAGCGCTTCTCTGAGAGCCGCGAGCAGTCCAACAGCACCCGGAATGTGCAGACCCAGCAGCATTACGAGGAGAACAAGCGCTATGTGGATATGGACAAGGCTTCGCCGGAATACCAACGCCATGTGCAACACCTGATGGAGCAACCGGGCGAGATCATCTCCAACACGGTGGAGTATCCCAAGCCGAATGTCAAGATGATCACCACAGTCAAGCGCCTGCCGGACGGAACTATTGTCAAAAACAAGCGCTACGAGACGGAGCAACTTACTCCCAGCCAGAGTCAGACAACCCAAAAGCAGCAGACAACCAACAAACAGACTAACAACCAAGTCCGCAATCAGACTTACAATCAGCGAAGCGCACAGGATGTGCAGGATAGTCAGGTTCGCGATGTGGCAGAGAATGTGGAGCAGAAGCATGTGACGGAGTCGCAGAGCTTCTCCTCGGTGAAGAAGTCCAGCCGACGTTTCTCCACAGAAACCACATCGGAGACTGTGGAGGAGTACGATGATCGCGGCCAGCCCGTGTCCAGGGTGGTGCAGAAAGCACCCACACCCTCGTACGCACCACCGTCCCACTCGCCACGTCAGTCGCCGGGCCGTGACTTCAGCACTCACGGCTTCCCCTCGGTGCGTCCGAATAAGCCCACCCAGGAGTATGCCTCTCAAAGACCCGCCACCGCTGGACCCGGCGGTGAGGAGGTGGTGGTGGTGCGCTCCGAGAAGAGCCGCCAGATGAAGCAGCAGACCAGCTCGCAACGCACCACCGAAACCGAGGTGCTCGGGGATGACTACCATCAGCCGCAGAGGTCGCCACAAAAGCTCAGGGAGGCCCCGTCTCCCAGCTGGGAACAGCCCACCAACACCAGACGCCATCACGTGGAGGAGGACTTCAGCACCCATGGATTTCCCTCGGTGCGCACCACGACTACTCGACCCGATCAACCCGACGGTGAGGTCTTGCAGACTGTCAAGACGGTAAGTCGCAATCAGAGCGCCAACCGCAAGACGAACACGGAACGGGTCATTGAGACGCAGGTGGAGCAGCCGGGCGCCCATTCCCATTCCCACCCCTCGCCCAGAACCCAAAGTCCGCGTCGATCTCAGCCACGCGAGGACTACGGCAGTCAGGGTGTGTCCTCGCCCCGCGGACCGGCGGGTAAGCCAAGTCAATCGCGGCCCAGCACCACCGGAGGTAGCACCCCCACCAAGACGACCACCACTTCGGAGCCCTTGACGCGTCGCCAGTTGCAAAAGGAGCGCGAGGTGGATGCCGCCCATCGGGCGTTCGCCGCCTCGCTGCGCAGCAGTTCGCCGGCGGATAGCACCACCTCAGTGGGGTCGCACCACCACCAGACGCCGCGATCTAGCGTCTCCTCGAATCGCACCTTCCGTCGGGAGATGCGCGAGGGCTCGCACGACAGCCAGGCGCCGTCGGAGTCGAGCCGGATAAGCTCGACAACCGTGACCCGGCACACTGGTGGCACCACCACCAGCAGCACCACCAAGACCAAGACCACCAAGCCGGTGCGGGGTCCCAGCGAGCCGAGGTCGCCCACCCCGAAAACAGGAGGAAGTGTGACCACTACCACGACCCACGTTACCAGTACCACCAGGTCCAGTCCCAGCCCAGCACCAGCCTCACCCACAACCTCAGCACCAGCCAGTTCCGCACCACCAGGTACGAATTAGAGACAAAAAAACGTGAAAATGCGTTTTTAGTAAAAAGAAACCACATGACTATATGCTATATAAATATTGGAACTACTCGTATGAACTACTATGTATATGAATGTATATCCTTCAGATAACAAGCTATCACAGTATACGTATACTACCACTAAGCCCGGCGATATATTCTCTCTGCCACCAACTACTCCTCCTACTATTAACAACGAACCGACACTAACCTCCACCACCACCAAAACAACAACAACAACAACCACCACCTCCGACAACCAGAACCACCCGAAACAATCTGCAATTGAAACCGATAACGATAACGCTAGCGATGCCGGCGATTCGCAGCCGATCCGCAAGGTGAAGCTGAGCGCAAATGAGTCAAAGGTGGTGGAAGAGGCACCCTGTGTGCGGCGTCAGTACTACCAGCTGGGAAGCGAGGGGGAAAACCCCGAGACGCCCGAGAGCTCAGGGACCCCTGGTAAGGCTTGAATTCAACCACTACCCGAACTTGCCAAAAGAAAAATAAAACAAAAATTTAAGAAACTCTGTACACCTAACTATTCTATCTATACTTCTTTTTGATTTTTGCAAATAAATATACTTGAAAACTGTTTACCAAAACCGCAACTCTGAAATGTTCAATGTTCAATGTCTTGACCAAGCACCACACAAACTGAAATTGCACTCAATCACAAACTGGGAAGCCAAATGGGCTGCAGACCGAAGGAGAGAGATCTGTGGCCCGTTACTCTACTACCTCTAAATCTAACTTTTCTCTTCTTGAGCTTTCACTAATGGGTTTACTTAATATTGCCTGAGAATGTGCTTGTGCCTACCTAAACCAGTAGAATTCGTCTAACCCCCGCAGCAGAAGCTGCCAGCGTAGTTGTAACTAATCCTAACCAATTAACAAGGGCTTTGCCAAAGTAAACACAACTTACGTACACCTAAGCACACACAACGGTTGAAGAAGTAGTCGAGATCACGTAGCTCCATTCGTCCCTCAGTCTTATGCCCTGATCCGTTGCAGCCAGCAAGAAGCCCTATCCAGTAAGGAGGCCCCACGGTGAACCGGAGCCGCAGGTTCCGTTGAGGCGTAGCTCCAAGTCGCCCACTGGGGAGCCACGTCCGGTGCAGCGAGAAACGACTTTTGAGGGTCGACGTGTCTCCCAGCCAGAGGATCAGCTTTCGATTGACGAGCTTATACTCATCGAGCAGATGAGCGGAGCTCCGGGCTTGCCTACAATGTCTAAGAAGCCATCAGCTAGGGATCAAAGCCCGCAAAAGCCTTCACCCAGAGCTCAGAGTCCTGAGAAACCATCGGTTAGGGCTCAGAGCCCGGAGAAGCCTCAGCCTAGAGCCACTCCCAGGCAGAGTCCGGAAAAGGAGCAGCCCGCCTTTGGGGCCAGCACTCCTAGTCAGCTATTGCCACGTGCCTCAAGTCCTGAGAAGGCTTCACCCATTCAGGGTCCCGAAAAGCAATCGCCCCGAGCCCAGAGTCCCGAAAAGAGTGGTAATGTCAGCCAACCTTCTGTTTCTCCCCGTCAAAGTCCCGAGAAGCAATTACCCCGAGCCCAGACCCCAGACAAAGTGTCACCGAAACAAAGTCCAGAAAAGCAGTTGCCTCAAGAAGTTTCAAAGAAACCGCGTCAGAGCCCGGAAAAGGAGCACATCAGTCAACAAAGACGTGAGGAGGATATATTTTACAGTACGATTTCCTCAACGCAAAAACGAACTACCAATAGTATAAACGAAGAATTCCTAACAAACGAACGAGATAACCAGAATCAAACCACGATCTCCGAAAAGAAACCCCAGGTACTAAGTAGAGATGAACCGCAAGTGAAGCCCCTGGAAACCATCGAGAGTCCAGATGGAGGATTTCTCTCTAAGGGAACTGAACCCGAGACCCAGCCCGATGAAAATCAAACGCCCACTTATCGCAAAAAAGGACTGACACGTCGCGAGACCTTTGAGGATCGTTGTCGTCAGATTTTGGGAATGGAGGAAGATGGCGATACCCAGGGAACCTACACCCAGCAACCGAATGACGATCAGGAAGATGTGAGTGTAACTCACACGTCCATAGAGACTATTCAAGTAAAGATCGAGGATTGCCCTGACGATGATGACGATGACCTGCCCCGTGGTGTTACTGAAACATTTGTGGTGCGTACACAGCCCAAGATCAAGGTGGAAGAGGAGGAGCTTCTTGTGGATATTACCGAGTCCGAGGATGTGGAGATCTTAGTAGCTCCGTCGAAAAAGAGTCCCAAGCAAGGAGACAGTCCTACTTATCCTAAGGAGCCAGAGACTTCCGGAACCCCAAAGCGGGAGCAGAGTCCTACTTATGTCACGAAACCAGAGTCCCCCAGGTACCCTAAGGAACATAATATTCCCAAATACCCAACGGAAAAGATAGTTACAAGGATTCGAAAGAGCCAGAGAATGTTGGATATCCCAAGGAGGCCTCTAAATATCCGAAAAACCAAGATATTCCCCAATCTCCTAAGAAGGAGCAGCGTCCAACTTTTGTCGAGGAACCCGAATATTCCAGGAATCCCAAAGGTCAAGAGCAAGGACATCCAACACATTATAAGATTCCGAACAAGCAGGAGACAAGCTTTGTGACCGAAAAGGTCATCGATTGTCAGGGAAAGACTATTGTCGAGAAAATCAGCCAGAGACCGCGAACTCCGAGTCCCACTACACCCAAAAACAGTACGAAGCCAAGGCAAAAAGTGCCGGAGAAAGTACGCGAAACCGAATCGGAACCCGAGAAGGAATCAGAGCCAGAGACGAAGAAGAAAACCAATGTCAGCGTTACGAAAACCGAAACCGAACGTCGCAACTCGCGCACCACCAAAACAAAGCAGCCACTGACGCCCAAGGAGCCACAATCGAAGCTTCCGGCGACTAAGAGTCCCCGTAAGGACTCGCTTTCGGGTCGCAAGCGGGACAGTTTGGTAGAAGAGACCCGAAACACTACAACCACGACCACAACGACTCGTCGTCAGCAGAGCGAAACTAATGGTTCGCCTTCCATCAAGGACCGCCTTCGGTCTTCGCCGCGCAAGCAAAAGACTTCGCCCCAGCAGACGCGAACACCTACGCCAGCGCAGTCAAGAAATCCAGAGGATGACGTCGATGGAGACTCGACTTCTCCGGACTCCAGCCCTACGAGGGTGGGTAATGAACGTCGTCGTTCGAGCAACATTTCGGTACACACGGAAATCATCATAGACCACACAGCTCCCAAGTCCCCAAGAACGGAGAGGCGACCACAAACTTCCTCTGGTGGCGTCATTAGTCCGATTAGAAAACTTCCGGTAACGGAGCGGAAGGAGTCGGCTCCGGTGCCTCGGGTTACCCGTCGCGATAAGGCCGAAAAGGTCACGCGCTCGACTAGCGAGAATATCATAAAGGTCAGCGGTACCAGGCCTCAGCCCCAGATGAGCAGCCTAAAGCCAGGCGGAGAAAGAACTCGACCAAGTAAATGCTGCACCACCAAGACAATCAATCTAAGCGAGCAGCGAATAAATACAGCCACCGATATTGAGGGTGTAATCATCGACATTCAGCAGGCCAAGAGCTCGCGGGAACCGTCACCGGATAGGATTGTGCCAACTCCGGTAACCGGTGAGGTGGAAACGGGAAAGCCCAGGTTTCCGGACGTAGTGCAGGAGCCCGATGAAGAGCCTCGTCGCAAGCCACAGGTCACGAATATACCAATTTTCGAGGAGGAGTCGCAAACTTATGTGGGCTGCCAGATTTCCGAGTTGCGCAGCTCAAACGGGCTAGAGACAGACATCCTGGACAATCCCATGGTGGAGGCTCCCAAGAGCTTGGATTATCCCGTCAATGCTCCCGATACTGACGAGAGTCTATTAACTGTGCACGAGAAGGTTTCTCGATTCACTGACTCCGCCGAAAAGGTAAAGCAACCGCGTGTCTCTGCTCCATTTAACAGGGAATTCGATACAAACGCCAAGATTCCCGAGGACGATGAGTGCCTGCTGAGCATCAATCAAAAGGTGGACAAGTTTTTGCGCACGGCCGAGAATGTGATTAGGCCTTCTTCGCTGTCCCCTCGTCCGGAAATCGAGCGCCCAGACCTGAAGGAAATTGATGAGGAGCTTCTACGGGACGATTGCACCCTAACCGTCTCACAGAAAGTGCACAAGTTCATTGACACAGCCGAGAAGTTGGCACCCACCATGCCGCAAAAGTCGCCACGCTTGGTGGCCAACATTGAGCGCCACATATCCCGACAGAGCGAGCCAGACCGCGAGTTGGATGAGGAGTCAGAGCCAGAGTTGGATCGTGATTCAGATGTAGAGGACTGCGACCAAATTAGTCCACTCGAAACGGAGGAGGAGGCCACCCAAACTGTGACCAAAAAGGAAACAATAAGGGAGTTCAATCGACAGTCCAAGGAAATCAGGGAGACGCGAAGGGACTTCAAGGAAGAGCAGGAAAGGGGACCAAAGAAAGTAACCCAGAAAGAGCCTGCCAAGGTGCCCAAATATCAGGCAAAGCTACCACAAAAAGTGTCACAATGGGAGCCTAAAAAGCAGCCTCAGAGAGAAGACAAGGTTCATCAAAGAGATAATCTATGGGAACCCAAAAAGCAACCTCTCACTAAGTTGAAAGATGAGCCTGAAAAGGTTACCAAGAGGGAACCTAAGGTGCCGCAAAAAGAACCTCAAGCGAAGCTCAAAGAGGAATCCGAACGGGTAACCAAGAAGGTGCCCCAAAAGGATCCGCGCAGGGAGCCCCTCAGACAATCCGAAGAGGAGCCAGAATTCTCTCCCGAAGAAGAATTCGACGATGAGCCTCTTCCAATGACTAAGACACATACGACAGCCATCGAAGTCAAACGTCAGAAAGATATCCTTAGTCGCCCCTCGGTGTTTGGCCAGCGCACTCCGGAGCGCAAATCCAGCACAACACCTTCGCCAACTAAGCTCAACGGAAGTCGGAGCCGACCAAGTCCAAGTAGCAGTTTGATTAACGAAGAGAAGAGATCGTACAGAAACCAGGTGACTAATGTCACTAAGCCGGCAACCAAGAAAACGACTCCTTCGGCCATTTCCCCTGTCCAATCGTTGCCTACCAAAGCAACCAGTGTTTCCAAACGGATGGAGCACATCAGCCAGCAGTCTTGGGTAGTCGAAGACGTGGATGTAAACGTAGAGGTGGTGGGACCGGCGCCACCTTCCCACACCAGCGAGAAGCCCCGAAGGAAGAGCCCATCGCAGACGCCGTCAAGATCGCCATCGCGCTCTCCCTCCCGATCGCCCAGTAGACGCACCTCCACCAACTTGAACACGACCACCACCACAACCACCACCACTGAGCACCGCCACCCGAGCACCACCAAGTCAACTGCCCCCAAACCGACTCTGACTAACCCATCCAAAGACGAATCCGATATCACACCCATTGAATCCCTTACAGAAAAGAGCACCACCACCACTTACACAAGCAACACCACTGGTCGAAATGTGGCTAGCCGCAGGAATGTGTTTGAGCCATCCCAGGAATCTCCGGTGGATTCTGAGCCCACTGGACGCCGTCCCTCGTACATGGATCACACGAAGAGCTCCCTGGAGCACATTCGACGCGACTCGCTGGAGATCAACAAGAGCCATTACTCCCGGAAGTCCTCTGTGGAGGATGATTCTCCGGCTGAGCCACGTAATCCCAATACATCCGTGAAATTCGATGTGCCCCGAAAGACACCTTCGAGGATTGCCGATGAGATTAGGAAGTCCTCTCTTAAAGGTAAAGACGACGACTCCGATCTGGAACAAGAAATCGAGGAAATTTTCGATCTCCAGCGACTGGAGAAACTTTTGGAAACTGTTTCTAGCTACGAAATGCGTCGTCGCATTCGCGCCCAAATTCGTCTTATACGCAAGAACATGATTAATGCGGGGTCAACTACTACCATAACCACAGTTAACACCACCACAACTCCAGGAACGAGTTCACCGCTTTCCAAAAAGCGGGAGCAGAGCCCTGGGACTAGTCCTGAATCAAAGACCACTGGCAGTAGCATCAAGGAAGTCCGCACCACCACGACTCGCCGACGAGTGGAGCAGGTGGATAGTTCGACACCAACAACACCAGGAAAATCATCCCCGCAGGGAAAGCCACCAGTGAAGCCAAGGGAAAGAAGTTCCAGTCCCGCACAAAGACGTCGCATAAGTCCACCGAATAAGCAAACTCCCGGAGACAGGAGCACTACCACCACAACCACGAAGGTCACCACTAATAGCACTACTCGCGGAGCTCCCAGCAAACCCACTCAAGGTCCCATTTGGGCCGATCGCTCCAAGGTACTAAAGGCCCATGCGGCAGTTCCCCAATCAAACGGAAGTACTCCACGCAAGGGATCGACTTCGAGCACCACTTCAAGCAGTGGCAAGCTCACTCGTACTTTGACCAGCTCCAGCACTACGACCAGCACCAGTAGCACCACCAATACACGCAACAAGCAGCGCGAAGAAGACTCAATTACCTCCAGTTACGGCGTGGGACCCACGGACGAAAATGGACTTCCGCTTTTCGGAATTCGGGCGCTCAAAAAGAAAGCAACGCCACTGGCAGAGGATCCCTGTGAGACCAAGCAAGGTAAGTACATTATATACTACACTATTATTTTTTAATTTTACCAAAAACACTTCCAATTTTGGCTCTCTAGAAGTCACAGGCTATGTAATAGAGGAGCAGTTCTACTCGGACAACAAGTCGCCACCAAAGCACGAGCGCAAGGAGCTGATCTACTCCAGCAACGCTGATGAATTGGCTGCCATAAAGCAGCAGCTTCAAGATGCAGACGACAGTGCGCTTCCAGAGTTAGATGCCCGGGTGGTGCGGGAGTTCAAGAAGATTGAGTCGAAACAGTCGCTCCCGGAGGATGCAAGATATGTGCGTCGTGGATCGGTTAAGGAACTAAGCGAGAAGTTCATACGCAAAGAGTCCTCCTCTTCCACCCATTCGTCCGTGGTGAAGCATGAGGATGAGACCGAGGAGGACAGCGAGTCCAACGAGGTGTGCAGCGTAATCGAGGCGCCACAGATGCGCCAGAATCAGAGCCACATCACCAGCACCACTCGATCTAGCAACACTCGTTCCTTCCTCAACAGTAGCGCCGATCAGCGTCAGGTGACCAGTGTGGACGACGTCCTCGAACGTATGCGCAATGCAGATAATGGTGAGACTTAGATAGTGCCTATTTTGGACGTAAGAAAATCCGTAATTGAATAATCTCTACTTGCAGTGGAGGAGCCCGGAGATACAAGCGAGGACCGCGAAGCCCGTGCTCTGCTCAACAAATTCTTGGGTGCCAGTGTCATTATGCAGGGAGTGGAAAGCATGCTGCCACCGACCGCCTCGGGGCAGCGTCTAAACAGTCAAGGGGTGAGTAAAAATTTTCAAAATTCCCTAACTCTTCCTCATATTTTGTTAAAATTAATTTGTTATCTTAGATTTGTTAGTAGCCAAGAAATGCGATTTTGCTAAGATTTTCGAAAAAAAAAACGTACTTAATTGCAGTTTTTCCAGCATTTGTTGGACGTTTTGCAATTATGCAACGATATCTTTCGTATAAGGTTGAATTTTAGAAGAAAAAAACCGTATTCTATTACAGTCTTCCCAACACTTGTTGCACGCTTTGTTGTTGCAAGTGCCATGCAAGCATAACCTAACCTCAATGATGCGCACAAGCACGTGCACGTGGTCGATTAACCGTTAACCGAGCGC